TTTTGGTTGCTGGATAATGGGGAAATTCAGGGGGCACCAAGGAAGTAGCCAGGCTGCCTGAGGCAACAGGCAGGGGACTCTCAGGGGACAGTGGCTCTTTATCAGTTGGTACAGAAGCGTTTTCATATTTAATTGATTTCAACTCTACCTGGGAGCACCAGCTGAATATAAAGCCTACCCACTTCCGCCTACCTCGCACACCTAGCAAGTGAAAGAGGTCTCCCCAGAGTTTCCGTGAGTCCTAGACCCAAGCCCCAAATTGCAAATTGGATTAATATATGGAATAGTCCCTCAGAAAGGGCAGAACTCTGTGCTGGACACGTAGGGAGAGATGTGGACTGCTCTCCTCTTGCCACTGCTGAGATTCGGGGAGGCTGATCAAAACAGCTCATGAGCAGGGGGTATCAGCGCAGTTTGCTGGATGCCGAAGCCTAAGACATGGCCAACCCAGGTTTTGCCTCACACGCACTCCTTTTAACCCATGTACAGGTTCTGGCTGCAGATTGTCGCGTGGTGGGGACAAGGATCCAAAGCCACCGTGGCTTTTGACAATATCTCCGTCAGCCTGGACTGCTACCTCACCAGTGAGTTCGCCCTGTCCCTGGCACTTGCTCTCCAACCCAGACGTCCTCGGGCCTCGCTGTCCCTCCTTGACCTCAACCCCTTTCTCTTCTACCTTCCCTGGGGCATACTCATCTCTCTCCCTGAACCTGAGCCTCGCTTAACTCGGCCCATGGGGTCTTCTCTATTCTAGTCAGTGGGGAGGACAAGATGCCACAGAACACAGCGCTCAAATCAAGAAATCTGTTTGAGAGAAACCCAAACAAGGAGGTGAAATTCTGGGAAAATACACCAAGAGAGACCCCCATCTTTGACCCTACAGGTAAGGGTTCAGTTGACAAATTTGAGCAAAGTATTAATAATTGTTTTTGGTTGCCAAAGGCAGAAGAAAGATATGTGCTATGATTGGGATGGGGCGCTGTATTTTGAGAATAAAGTAGGCAACCTTTAGAAAGAAATCGCCTGTACCCTGGCTATGGGGCTCCAAGAGGAAGCTGTTTGGTTCTTTTACTACCTGGGCAAATGGAGCACAAGAAAGTTGTGCAAAGAAGCATCTCTCCTCCATGCCTGGGGAATAGCCAAGCCCCAACACAAACACATAACCAAGCTGCTGTCCTCTCCTCAACTCAGTCCCTTGAAACCACTCCCCATTTACTGAACAAAGCAAACCTTCCATCAGATTTTTTCACATAAAGAGGGTTGGGCCCAAGGCCAATGTTATCTGTGGCCCAAAGACAGGCTAGCCCATCATGGGTAAAGCTCCCAAAGCTTCAGGTTCAGCACATTTCCCCAAAGCTGCTTGATTCAGCAGCCCGCAGGCTGAAGGACTTCTTGTGGGGGCTCTGCTGCTTCTAACCCAGGCCCCTTCAGCCTCTGGCCCTGCACCATGGACGTGACTTCTTAGCTACTCATTGTTTCAGAAGGAAATCTCTTGGGATCAGCCTCAAACCCAGTCTGATGTTCCTCAGCCATTATTAGATCTGAAGCCTAGCCCCAGAGAAGCTGAGGCAGGCCACCAGGCCTGAAAGCAGCAGGTCAAGGGGTGCCCCAAGTGGGTGTTGGTGCCCTGGGTATACGTAGCTTTTCCCTACATGAGTAGCCTGGGGAAGCAGTTGTACAGTAAACGATCTACCCACACTTTTTCCTATAAAAGACAATTCTTCATAAAAACAATAGATAAATGACAAATCTCTAATTTCTACTTATAAATGTGAAATCCTTGTTTAGTGCAAAATACATTAAAAAAAAAGTAGAGGCTTATACCATTGCCCTAAATTCATTGATTATCGACGTATTAAGTAGCTATTAGCTTTGCTTTGTTTTTGAAGAAATCCTTTCCTTTCTCTCCCCTGAAAAGCTGCCCAGAACTAACTGTCCCTCCCTGATTCCTGCCCGATCTAACAGCTGACAAACCGGGGGAAAGAGTTCGTTGCTTTCCCCGTCACCTCTCCCCTTTCCTCTCTTCACCTTTAACTAGAACCTCAAAATACCGTTTCATTTTCCCACATGAAGAGGAACTTGGCATCCTAAACTGCAACCTCTCTTTCCCCACGCTGCCCCCTGGTTCATGGTTCATGAAAACATCTAACATGAGGGAGGCAGCCAGCTGCTAATCATTCAACACCTCTCCCCCAGCCACCCCATCCCAATGAGTTACCGCCATTACTTCCTGGCCCTTGGTCAACCACTGCCTCCTGCGATAAATTCAGGATGGTGCTAAGCAAACATCACGGCAAGCGCCCGCCCCCCCTAACCACCAGGACTGATTACATAGCACGGGCTCCAGAAACACTCACTGATTGACTGGTGGGCACTTAATGTTTGAGCTGAGCTCTCAGATGTCAGCAGCTGGCTCCCCAGCAGCCAACATTTAGGAAACAGCCGTCCACCCTGCCCGACTCCCGGGGTTATTGCCGTATAATTCCCACTGTCCCTAAAAGGCTAATCGATAGGGGCCTGCCCAATGGCCACTCAGACTAATGAAACCACGTGGCGGCTCAAAAGCGGTGATGCTCCCCCGCCACCTCCAGATAAAATTAGAGGTGAGTGAGTGGCTGCCTGAGGGGCCGGAGATGCCAATGGCTGGAACACAGGCTTCCTCGACTGCACGGCCCCCGCCTCAGAGCAGGAGTGACAGGCAAGTGGCTGTGGGTCACCGTCCTGTCTCCAGACCCCCTTCTGAAGGAGTGACCCCAACTCAAAGGAAAGAGGACACTGAGGCAAATATCTCCCCCAGCAGCCTTAGCAGACTCCTTGGGAAGGCTTCAGAAAGCCGAACAAAGAGCCAGTGCTTTCCCAGGAACCCGCTGCCATATTGGGAGCAGCTCGGGTGAGGGAGAAGCCAAGGCAGGCGCCCAGCACCCTTCCCCTGCTGTGTTTCAGGAGTAGGACGCATCTCTCCCCCAGCCTGACAGACCGCCCAGTCCCACCTTGCTGCAGACATTAGCAGTGTTAGCAGTGTGTCGAGGGGGGGTCTCTGTCTTCATCGGGAGGATTTAGAGGGGGAAGGGGAGCAGGGCCTCCTTTTCCCATCACCCACAGGGCAACATCCACCGAGCCCCCGTGGCCAGGACTCAGCCTCGGGTCATGGAGAACAGGCCACCCGCTGGGTCCATGCTGAGGTCCACTCTCGCCGGCTTGAATCGAGACCCACTCACGGCTCTTGCACACTCCCTCTGAGGGCACTTCAGTGCTCAAAGATGCTGAGCAGGACAAGATCCAGGTCAGGAGTCAAAGAACTCACAGTGTAGGAAAGGCGAGTACAAGCAGACAAATGATTAAGGCCAAGCAGTGTGCCTACAGCGAAAGACGTCCCAGGCAGAGAAGGGGGCCTGGAGGAGGAGAGGTCCAGCGGGTTCATGGAGAGGCCAGGTCAGGGCCGCACCCACTCAGGAACATTCACCCTGCAAACATTGGCCTGGCACCTGCCTCCCATGGGCCCGGCACTGTGAGTGGCTACAACAGGGACCAGGTGAGCCGGTACTCACTGTTCTGGCACTTCTGGCCCAGGGGAGCCAAGTGGCCCATGAAACAGCAGGTCACAGTCTGCAACATGAGCTTAACCCAAGCTCAGAGCTTCTACCTAAGAGGGCCCCCTGGAAAGGAAGGGAGGGCTTGGGGCCCAGGAGGGACAGGGGAGGGTTGGGGAGGGGAGAGGCGAGGAGAAGAGAGGAGAGGCGAGGAGAGGAGAGACACCATCTGTGAGCATAACTGACCCTGGGCTAGGGAGTTTCACATATCTAGTCCTCACTCTGGCCCAGGGACAGCCGCAGCTATTACCATTGTAGAGATGAGGAAGGTGATCAGAAAGAATATAAGGGTCCCACAGCTGGTAAGGAAGGGGACCAGGATGTGGCCCTGAAGTCTACATTCCTCCAGCCAACTAAGCTACTTCTGGGTATCCAAGTCTCCAATCAGAGATCAACACCAAGAGTGAAAAGAGTGGGGAGCACATTGCAGATGAGAGCCTCTGCAGGGCCAGCAAACAAATCAATTGTCTGGAGAGACGAGATAATATGATTTTCTTCCCAAAGTTCAATGCTGTCCATTTCTGCTGGGCTGAAACAAGGACGGCTGGTGACATTTCAGCTCTCCTCTTGGCAGGCATTAGAGCAACTCCTAGAAACCCATAGTCATGTTGGGTTTTCAGAAGACAGCCACCCACAAAGCTTTCAAATTTCCGTAAACACTCCTCACTTCCCCCAAGGCAGCCCTCCCCTCTGACGAGGGCCTCATCCTCTGGGTCTCGGGTTCCCTCACCACCACCACCCCAAGCCCACCTGGCAGAGCTGAGCATCCAGACAGGGAAAGCTCACCCAGGTGCTTCACGGAGTGTTCTTGGAAGCCTAAGTCACTTTCGCTAATCAGATGAAGAAACAGAGAGAGAAAATGGGGCAAGTATTAAGTCTGAGAAAATTGCATTTGTCAGCTTTGCACATACAATTACACTAACCAAATGGTTGGGATAATGCAATCTCAGAGTACAGAGCTCTATCCACACCCCTGCACCGCCCCCCCTCCCCCAGCAGTAATGAACATGAGGGGTGAGGAGGCGCAGGCAGGCTCTGCTGCCCTCTCCCTCTCTAAAAGTCCAGGTGAGGACAGGCAGGACTGCCAGGGCCCAGTGGGGTCTCTCTCTCTTTTCTTCTCCTGCAAGCTCACTGTTGTGTAGGAAGGAGAATCAGCTCAGCTTATCTGAGAACCAGTCCACACCTTTGGCCAACCCACAAGTATCCGTAATGCATGGAGCCCTGGCGTCAACTACAGTCTTGCCTCGTAGTTGGTTGGTGACAGTTGGTTGACCATTTTCTGAGTACACATCTCTTGTCACAGGAGGGACGGGGGACAATTAAACATGTGTAGGATCATGAAAAGAGCACTGGCCCTGGCTGGCCTGCACAGCAAGCTGTGGTCCCCTTGTCTGATGCCTGGGCAGATAACAGCTCATGTGAGAGGGTCTAATGTGGACACAGACAAGGGTGGAAAACTGGTACTCTTAAAAGTCAAGGTTTGAAGTAGACAGCCTCTAGGTCCCTCCCCATTCCCAGCTCCACAGCTCTGAGGAGTGAAAGGATAGAGCGTAAGGGAACCAGAGCTCTATTTGGCCCAGCTCTCTAATTAACCTGTGGCACCGCTAATGTGCCTAGAAATACGGGTGACAGACTGTCCGTTTCCACACATGCTCCTGTGATTCAAGAACAGATGCCAATTCCAATGAGAAAGTTTTATGTGTTTCATATAAATTGATTGGGTCTATTTCTGCTAAATGCATTATCCATTCACCACAGAACAACTATTAGAGTTAATAGAATTTGTAGCCAGAGCCATTATGTTCCAAGCATGCCCTTCTGGGGATGACGGCATTGTTGGAAGGCAGGCTTTGCTCGGCCAGCCCCCCTCACTCAGAACCTGTCTTCTCACTCACTGGGGGGTCTTCGTTTATATCAGAGCCTTCTGTGTTCAGGCACTGTAGGCCCAGTGAAGCTCACTTCAGCAGCACACCCCAATAGTGAGGATTCACCCATTCCTAAATAAGGAAGTGCATGCTAATCCAATTCCAAAAGCCCTATCACCTGCTGGCACTGCAGACCACCCCATGCCAGGCTGGGGCAGAGAGGAAGCTGGGGTCCCTGCTGTAGCCGAAGCTCTTCACTGTGCCAGCGTTGGAGACAGGAGGCCCCAAAGCATTGGAAACAAGTAAGGGTGGGAGGGCTGGGAGCCCCACTCACTCTGGGGGGACTCAGATGAGGCCCTTGGGTTTATCACATCATTAACAGCTTTCTGCAGAAATGCCCGGTGACAGAACCTGGGACTTTGTGAATG